GTATCACACTGAACCGTACTAGCCCCCCCGAACCTTCCTGCGGGTGGTGAGTCCACCGGAAGGTACCAACCGCCCTAACAGGGATTCGATCTTGCCGAGGAGGTGAACCCTGGGGTTCCACACCCAGGACAGAGACATTTTGGGAAGTCTATCTTGGGTTATTATAGAACCTAGCAATTACAATATTACATAAACTTTCTTTACCAAGGAGGTTTATTTGTTAAACAGTTGTCCCTATTATTGGCGTCAACCATTGAAAAGTGGACCTGACATCCAAACATTTTTGGTTTCTTTTCTGTTGCAGTAAACTTACATTTTTTATATATAATTTATTACACATATGTTTTTAATGATAAAAAATGAATCATGAGAAATATTAAAGGTAGATAAGTATTGACTTTTTTTGTCCAGGCATAGTTAGAGACTGATGTACTGCTTGTCTGACATTAAAGTAAATTAGCATAAATTATTAATGTGATGTGCACAGCTGAAGCTTGGCTTGGGATAAGCTGTTTGTTGTTAGGTGGGCTGCCCAGCAAACACCAAACTAAATTCATTAATGATGATTCCATTGTGTTCAAAATAGCAGATAATCACCCTGTAAGCTGAGACCATATGAAATTTTGATGTTGAATTTACAACACTTTCCTTCCGACTCCCTGTCTTGTCATTTATGATGTTTAAATGTTTGACTAGAATTTGACAACTTACTACTAGGGATGCACCGAATTTTTAGCCACCGGAAGGTTTTGACCGAAAACTGAAATGCATTGTTTTCGGCCCTATGACTTTTATCAGCATAACAACATGGCCAAAACGGAAGTTATGATAATATATTTGATATTTGAGAAAGACCCACGGATAGTGATTTGCAAAACGTGTAATGCTGAAATTTCAAGAGGCGGTGAAAAGTACACTCATAGAGTACGCCGGCATACATTTCACAGAGATCTATTCAGATCCCCTGTACTCGTCGCGACAGTACTTGATCTGCATTATAAAGATCATTGATCAGTCAAATGATCCGGGCTGCAATGGACGCGGAGAACCCGTTTGGAGACTGAGAGGCGAATTGCACAGGAGGAGGGCAATGTGCCAGATGAGGTGCAGGAACCCTCGTTGTCTGATATGTTCGGTGAAATCCTGCAAGAGAGTTCCTCAAATAATAATAATAATAAGTGGGCTGTTTTGTTCTGACTTCCTATGTGACTCTCAGTTGATTTTCTCTGCTAGACATTTGACAGTAATTTGCATTATAATTTAATTTGGTTTTTCGACCTTGGTGTCCTCATTTTCGTTTTTTGGTTTAGGCCAAGAATTTTAATTTTGGGTGCGTTACTACTTACTACTTTCTACCTGTTTTAGTCCCATTCACATACTGTACATGTGGGGCAGTGGTGGCTTGGCGGTTAAGGAAGCAGACTTGGGTCTGGTAGGTTTCAGGTTCAGCCATCTGGAGTCAACCAGCTGCCAAGTTGCTACTGAGATGCTCTGAGCATGGCACCCATGCTCACTTTGGTGATGCGAATAAACTTGTTTCTCTGCTTTTGAACTTTGACCTCTCCCTTTTTCAGGGGTTGCCACAGCAAATCATTGATTTCCATCTCTCCCTGTTCTCTGCATCTTCTACTCTATCCAACTATCTGCATGTCCTCCCTCACTACATCCATATGTCTCCTCTTTGGCCTTCCTCTCTTTCTCCTACCTGGTAGCTCCATCTCTAACATTCTTCTACCAATGTATCCACTGTCCCTCCTCTGCACATGTCCAAACCATCTCAATCTGGCTTCTCTAGCTTTTTCTTCAAGCCTTCCTGTCTGTTGTGCCTTTTAATGACCTCATTCCTGATCTGACCTCTGCAGACGGAAGTATATCAACAATGTCAGCAGTTTAAACATATTTGAACATAATACATTTGGACAGGTTTATTGTGGGTTAGGTTTAGGGTTCTGTGTCATTACAACAACTCTGCACCTGATTAAAGTCAAAACCAAAACACTCTCCATATGTAGGTTAGGTTTAGGGTCATTACAACAACTCTGCACCTGTTTAAAGTCAAAACCAAAACACTCTCCATGAATTTGCTGAAAAGAAAGAAAAAAAAAACGAAAATGAAGACACCAAGGTCGAAAACTGAAATAAATTATTATGCCGAATACTAGTACCATTGCATTTATGGCAATGACTAAACCTAAAGAAAACCAACTTCTACAAGTAATTCTTGTAGAATTAACTGTATAATTGTCTTCAAGAACTGAAAGTCTATTGCTTTCTTTCTTAGACATCTCCCTATTTCTTATTTGGTAATTCCCTCCATTTCCTAATTTATTCAGTCACTGTTTGAACTATTTGTTCTGCTTTCTCTTGTTTTTAAAAATATAGAAGTATTTTTTAAAAACGAGAAACTATTGTGCTACAAGTGCTTCAGAACATTTCAACTCCAAAATAATTCACTGGTAATTAATTGTGTTTGGAAGCAGTACACATAAGCATTTGTAGTGATTCAAAAGGTAAACAGAAGATAATTTATTTTTGGCTCTAAATACGCTCAAATATTAATCTTGCCTGAGGTTATGTGTATTCATAAAAAATGTAATTATTTTTAAATCCATTGTAGTACTTTAAATACTACATTTAATAGTTTTCATTCTTTTCTTTTGTAAAACAGAGCACCATATATCCTATTCATTACAAGGGGGCACAATGTTTCAGTTCCCAAGTTTTTTTATATTCTGAACAAAAGGTCATTCAGATAAAATGATGGTTAGATCACAATCTAGTCTTTAATGCTCACAAGCCCAACAAACAGATTATATAACTTCATGAATAAATTACATTGAGCTTCTGGCCTTACTAAAAAGCTACTTTTCAGTTGTGTTAATATATTAACTGTAGCTGTAGTAGAGAGAGAATGCATATTGATCAGCTACTACTTTCTGTTAACCCATCCTGAAAACCCTACTTTCCTGAAAACCCACACATAAGACAAGTTATATTTAATAATTGTTGGCATTTTGACTGATATTTCTATATTGCAGTAATCTATGAAATATAGCATGACACTCAAACAATCAGAGCCATGACTTTATTTTATTTTTTAACTTTACTGACATGATTGTCACATGTCCTTGTCTCAGACATTTATTTGTTTTATTAGTCCAGCCCTGGTTTGTCTTAGACAAACATTATCAGCACAAATAGAACAGGTTGGGCGTTTTCTCTCAGCCATCACAATCCACAATAGAATTTTTGACGGAGAAATACTTTGCGGAGTGCATACTTTATGGAGTACCACTCCCAGCAGCCTTGTATGACTTTGTCTTCTGGGTACATACCTTGCTCTGTGTGGCAGGTCGTACCTTTAAAACTCAATAGACAGGTTCTTCAAATCATCATTAACTCTAATTGCTCATCTAGGATGCAAATATGTGAGTGAACGATGGCTGTAAATTGACACCTTGGACAAACAAAGGTGAACAGTCAGTCCACTATTCTTTTATCGATACGATAATTTTATAGGCTTGACTATGGATTGTCAATCAATCAAGATTTATTTGACCATCATAATTTCACCTATCTAAAGCCTAAGTAAACCATAGGTGTTGTACATTGTTCAACAAACAATACTCGTATGAGTATGGGTATCGTTTGTGTCCTTGAGGTTAGCACAACAGCAAGTCTCTTTACATCAGCAAACAAAGGCAATAACAAAGAAAGCCTAGAAGCAACTGCGTTTTGTGAGACTATTCTAAAAAGAAAAAAAAAAACCAACCAAGCTCCCCCCGCCCCCGCCTCCTAGAACAAAGGCTACTAATAAGCCTCTACCCCTCTGTGTACCATACACACTCTAGTAGTGCTGGTAGCCACACTCACTTCTGAACAAAATAACACCACACCTTTGTAATTTGAGATTGACACAATAAGGCATTGTAGGACAACAGGCAGGTCTTTAGAAAAAAAAAAAAAAGTAGCTAAAAAAACCTAAATTATTATAAAATAGTTATGGCAATTGTACATTAATCAGTTCGTAGCTAAAAAAACCTGTAGGCTATATTCTTCCTGCAAAGGTTTTAAAACTACAAGGGCACTAATGATTATTATTAAATTATTATAAAACAGTTATGGCAATTGTACATTAATCAGTTAATGCATTTCAAAAGGATATTTGAAATATACAATTAAAAAACGAAATTTTACTAGTGTAAATGGAGCAGCATATGTACATTTTAGTACGCTCCTGCGTGATTTCTAAATGACAAATATAAATCTCTTCCTTGTACAAATACATTATTTTCAAGTAAAATGCTTAAAATATCTCTTGGAGGAACGTTTGATGTGATGGGCAGAACAATCAAATACTCTTTCACCAGGTGGCTAGCGATATCTCTGTAAACTAAAAAAAAGAGATACTCAGCTGTTGGAGGAGGCAGATTTTTTTTATCATACGCAGAGTTTGACTTTTGCGTCGGGGGGCAAACATTTTAACTTTAACTGGCAGCCAACCATAAAGTTCAACTCTGTTACCACAATTAGAAGATGTTCAACAACAGTTGTTACAGTGCAATTGTAAATACAGTATAGGCCTAAACATAATAAATAATGTGTCTTACCTATTGCAGAAGTAAATGCCGAAAAGTAAATGATCGTTTCATCTTTCCAAATATTTTTGTAGGACATTCCAAAAGAGCAGGGTGCTTGGGACAGCAATTCTTTTTGCCAAGATCATTTAGTGGTCGCTCTGCTGTGGGCAACTTGGCTAATTAGCCCGATGGGGGCCCCGGTGATAAGTGTAATGTGGAGTTAGCTGGGCTTGCTATTCCAGAGCTGATCCCAGGTGTTTCCTCGTCTGGATCACATGCAGGCCCAAACGACTCTTAGTTAACTGCTGTAGTTGAAGAAGTACATTTTAAAAATCGCTAAAAAAACTTACATGATTATTAATGTCAATGTTCTGAAGTAAACCAACTCTCTACCCGTTTCCTCTGCTTTTCTTATTCCAGATACAAGCCTTTCTTCCCATTCCAAGTGCAGCCTCCACTTGGTTCCTGTAGTGATTTGTACCTTTCAGTCCAGGACAGCAGGCTGGTGGAAGGCCGACTTAAAGTGACACTTATTGAATGTAGCAGGTAAGCAATTTTGAACCTTTACGATACAAATGTAAACCTGGAATTTCTAAACCTTCCAGGAAAAAAGTTATTATATATTACCTCAACTCTGTCTGTGGTGTTCAAGGTACAGCTGTGTCGATTGAATCCATGTTTCTGTGAACAAAAACCACCAAGATGCCACACTACCAGGATTCCATCTATATATATACATAGGCATAGGCAGAAGATAAAGAAGTAGTTGTTCTCTTTACTTGGTTATTTTGCGTTTTCTAAATCTCGGTTACATTGTCATTTGTTGAGGAATGACTATTGTTTCAACATTTCAAATTTTCCAGTGTTTAAACAAACTCACACAAGCCTTTGTCAAATTTGTACAACAATGTTGAAATTAGCACGTAAAAAAATGCAGTCCACAAAATAACATTGAAATCAGTTTAGATTAAGCAGCACAAACAAATAACCAAAAGAACATTTTGATGTAGATTAAGCAGCACTTTGATAAACAAATAACCAAAAGAACATTTTGATGGTCTAGCAATATATATAATAATGATAATTTATGGTTAGTTTTTTCCACAATAAGGTAGAAATTAGCTGTAGGGGAAACATTCCCAGCTGTATACACGGACGCTCACAATCACACACACATTCACTGTTCAAAAGTGAATGAGCAGCATGTGATGCTGGGCGCCTTTAGGTCAGAGGCACTGAGCAACACTGCTTTTCAGTATACTTGTTTCCTGCCATTGTACGTATGTCTCCGAATTGTTAACATTACCAAGATCGACGCTAATTTGCGTGTCAGTAAAGATTCTGCCAAATCAGGATAACGCAAAAGTGCAATATCTGTATAGGAAAATAACTACTAAAGCATCGGAGACATGACAAGAAAACATGTATGAAAACGCAGAACTGAAGAAGTGTCTTGGTTGATAGGTGAAACTTTATCAAGAAACTAATAGAGTCCAGTTGCCCTTGATGCAACTGCTATAGATAATAGTAGTATACCAAGTAAATAGTAAATTGGCAGCTGGTGGACTCAAACCTGAAGCCTTCCGGACCCAAGTCCGCTTCCTCAACCACTAAGCCACCCCTGCCCCTTAAAAGGGTATTATCACCCCACTTTTGGGTTGCGACACACCTGTTGTTTTTATATCTTGATTCTTGCCTCATCTTTTTCAAATATTTGACTCTCTGCTTAACTTTTCCACTGTTGGGTTCACGCAAGGAGAAGTGCCTTCCTTTGAGTGAGGGCCAAATGTTTTTGCAGTTACAGTTCTAGTGAGGAGAGCTCAATAGATTATATTTTTGATGAAGATCACCTGAGCCTCCAAATAGTTTTTTTTGTGCTGCAACTACTGTATTAATGTACAATGACCAAAATGTCATCGTAATGTGTTAAGACGCTATCAACCAAAATATCAATCAAGGGATCAGTGCTATCGATAAATACTAAAAGAATAGCAAAAACGTTTTTGTTTTTTTTCGTCCTGTCATCTCTGTACCAGAACTGGCTTTTGTTTTATAACAGTGTGCTTAAAATCGTAAAAAAAAAAAGAAGAAGAAGAAAAAAAGCCATTGAATGAACAGCAGGGGGCAGCATTTCCCACAAACTCTGGTAATAATAATAATAATAAATACTCTAGGTGAGAAAGAATAAAGCTACTTCAGCTCCACCCTGTTAGGTTGGGCCTTGACGACTGTTTACACTTTCACAGTTGACCTTTCACAGTTGACCGTGAAAGTGTAAACAGTCGTTAAGAGTCTGATGGGGTCGTTGTGGTCCCCCTTGATGTACTTCCCACCACCAGTTAGAACTGAAGAAGCCTCTTGGATTAAAGGTGAAATGTCTTCTTTTAGAAAAATTCACGTCCAGTTGCCTAACAGAACTTTTTAAACTTGACCATGACCTGGATGACTGAGAATCTTCATAGACATACAAAGGCAATTTTAATCAGCTAAAAATGAGGTACATTTCATTGACATCAGGAGTAGGGAAAAGTTGGAGCATTACTCATTTGCCTCAGTGTACAGAAGAAACTGAAGAACTGATTGATACATCATGTCATATTTAATACCTACTAAGGCGGGAATCAATATTGTCAATAATTGAAATTTTGTTATAAGTGGTAGAAGGTCAGGAATAGAACTGGATTGTTTTAATGTGGTTAAACGTTTGCAGACATAAGATCACATTAGAGTGAGGTGAAACGGTCTATAAACTGCATCTTTCACATAAGGTCATTTTAGAGCACCACCACAACAACAAAAAAAACCTGCTTTAAAATCACCATTGCAAATAATTGTTGTTAGTGTGTGGAAATATTGACATTGTAAAGTGCTTCATTTATGTGAGTAACAATTAGGTTTGAAAAATTTAAATTTCATTAGGTTAAATCTATATGTCTGGGCAAAGGTTTGGCTAACACTAATATTTACAAAGTCACAGTTACTTTACACAAAGATGTTGCTCACCACACTAACGGTGGTGTATCCCATTGTACCACTGGGGGGAGTCCTCGTCCTTTTAATCATTTAAGCCTTCACGCTCTGATGTGATGTCCTTAATACTACTGACTCCTATAACAATGCCGTCTATTGGTATTTTCTTGACTTTTTGTTTTCTTACCCATTTGCAATTATTCTGACGATTATTGCCAAAATCCGCACTACTTACGGCAAAACAACAGGTCAGGTAATTACGAGCCGAGCCGGATTGCCATCTCTCAGTTGTTGTTTGTATGTAGCAAGTAGAATACACCTACAATAAAATACACCCTAACCTTTTACAGCCCCTCTTATATATTTCATGAATGTGTGTAAAGCACTGGGTTTTGTTAATTTTGACAAAATCCGCACTGAAACGATGAGAGGTGACACAGTTAAATTAGACTAACAGCTAACTCTGCTCGTAGTATAATGAGTGTAATGAATGAGAGCACACTGGGTGAAACTTACTTCCTCATTTATAACTCAAAGTGTTTGAACTTTAATGCAAATAAAAAGCCATTTAATACCTCTGAAGGGGCCAGACCTTACCCTGTTGTTTTTTGTTTTTATGTTTCGCATTTCTTTAGTCATCAGAGCAACAACTCGCTTAAATTGACTGCTGTTAATAAGAACATTTTTTATGACGTATGACCTGATAAAAAAATAAGGACTTAGCAGTAGATGATGGATGGATGGTTTTTCAGTGAAGATTTACAACACATGTAGGACCAACCAATGTCTTACATTGTTTATCAGGCAATTAATTAGATGTGGAACATAATTAGTAGTCAATGTGCCTTTTGCTACATGCTATATAAACAATTTTGAAATTGACTTTGAAGGAGCCCTTTCTTCATCTGCATAAACCTTGTGACACTGCTGCGGGTACCCTTTAAAGTGGATTTGTTTTGTCCATTAGTCAGCAGTGTTTATACAGCAGCCTTAACAGTACAAATATAAGAGGGTGTTATCTCTGGCCTGGAGGAAGCTGCATCGTTCAGAAGCTTTTAAAGCTGCTCCAAAAAAAGAAATAGTATTATTATAATATATTATTACTGGTTTGGTATAGTATGTATGTGGAATAGTCAGTTGTCAGGTGGATCACATTTTGTAATCTGACATTTTTAATAATCTTATCAAAGTTATTGTGCCTTACTTTTCATTGCTATTTCATTTGATGTGAACACACAGGCTCTTCATCCTGGGCTCCTATGACAGAGAAACCTACGTACACTGCACTCTGGAACTCAGCAGTACGCAGTGGAAGGAGAAAACCCGCAGCTCCATCAAACAGGTGTGGTCTTCTTGCTTGTTATACTTCATCCTTCTTAAGTTGAACTGCAGAAAATCCAACGCAAACTGTAAATAACACCTTGAGCTCACGGATAATAAAGAGCCTTGCTTTCGCTTTCGCTTTCGAGTTAATTTGGTTTTTCACGGGGTTAATCGCTTTCGAGTTAATTTGGTTTTTCACCTTTTTTTGTTTGTTTTTTGTTTTTTTGAACAGTTAAAAAAAGTGGTTAAATAATTAGAATGAAAAAACAAACACTTGAAATAATTAAATCACTGATTTGTAGTTTGTGCTGATGTCATTGTGTCAATTTGTCATCATTTTCCAGTCCAAAGAATTAAATTGCATTTGGCTTCACACAAACCGTCATATCTCAATGTCCTATTAAATAAAGTAATGTCATAGCAAACCTGCTTACATTTGTATTAGCGTCAAATATTTCTTAATAAGGATTGGTTAAATCCTCAATTAGAATTTGATGGGATACATGTGCCAACAGTCTTCGTTTGCAGTGGAATGGCTCGGAAAGAAGAATGTGAATCATAAATGATACTGAGATTACATTACACTGGAACTCTAAATATTGCATCTTTTAAAATAAAACCAAAAAAAAAATTAAAAAAAAAGTCCCGACAATCAAAATGTCAATCACCTTAGGAGATGAAATGTTTCATACCTTCAATTTCCTCTGCCGTTTGGGACAAACTGTGGCCTATTGACATAATAATTTAAGCTTGTTTTCATCCGTCTTCCGCTGATAAGATTTCCAATTCATTGACATTTTTAGTGGCAAAGAAAAGTCCAGGCTTTATAATTGTTGCCATTTAAAGATATTACAGTTATCACATCGGGCTTGTTTGAAGTGACTAATGAGCATGTTAGAATGAAATGTCAGACCCTATTACTGGCTCTCACCCTCACAAAGCCAGTTACTGCTGTCCCTTCTCTTTTCACATTTGAATGACATTTGCTGTGACTCATATACATGCTGTTGAACGCTAATTTGTCATGTTGGGTTTCATGCACGCTAAAATGAACCAACACTCCTCCAGCAGGTGGCAGTGAACTATTAGCCCTTGATCATTTCTCTCTTGTATCATTGCCCTTTTGTCAATCACACACATTGTATGAACGTTTACATTTATACTGGAAAAAAAAAAATCGAATGAAGACATATTTACAAATATACACCGAAAGAATTTGTGCTTTGCGTGCTGTTCTCCGCCTGCTCAACTATAAATGAACAGGCCTACTTTAAAGCACTTTGAAAAGCTTTTGAATAAAATCATGCAGATTCCCCAGTGGCATTTGAGTCACATTTATCCGACTTCTCCAGTCTGTATTATCCCAGCAGGTATCTGTGGTAGGGATTAAAGGCTGTACCATCTGGTAAAGGTCAATGCACCATCTCGCACTCTCTTGAGGATTGCCCAACGTAAGCTTCCATCACTTTCTTTAGGAATACGGCCGCTTGTCTTTTGTAGTGTTGATTTTAATACCATTTCATGCTGTCACTCCATGACTGTGTCTTCCGGAGGTGAGAAACACTCACTTCCAGGAGATTTTTTTTTAGACTGTTTTTACTTTAAAATTGACTTGAGAGCTGCCTCCTAGTAACAATTTTCCGTTCGGTGGTTTTGTGTGTTTGTCCTGCAGGTGTGTGTGACATGGCCGTTGGATGTTATGTTGACAGCAGTTGCTCAGAGTCCACAATAATTAACTCCATAAGACTGAAAGACTTAAACAGTGTGGAGGAAAATCCTGACTGGGAGGTCTCATTAGAGAAAACGTGACTTCTGGTAGGACACAATGATAGAGCCAGTAGTTTGCTCTTCTTGTTCAAAAAAAAAAAAAAAAAAATCAGATTTAAATCAACATTTTTCCTCACTTTGTCTCTTGCTCGCATGGCATACACAGCATATATGACACAGTCTCTATTTTAAGACACTAATGTAAAAAAAAAAACAAAGCTGCTCACAAACAAACAAAAAAAAAGACATGACCGCATGCACCTTGTGCCTTGCATCTTAAACCTTCTATTCTGAGTGTATGCCATGCAGTATACAATTTGTCTGTCAGGAAGAACATGATGTGCACTTGTTGTCCAGCCGGGGTCCTGAAATTATTCTTTGAGTCGTGTCCTCAGCTGTCGCCTGAGATCAGTCATGAAACATTTTCTAATCCTCTTTAAGCATATGCTTCTGACACACACAACCCTTTGGCTCATCTTTAACCTCTGGGTACTGGGTAGTGGAAGAAATTTAGCTGTGGCAAATTTAAAAAAAAAAAAAAATTTAATTCCCCTTGTGTTTCTAGTTGTAGTTTTGCCAGAGGATTACGAAAGATTTTGCCGTTTACTGGCAGGTATTTGCAAATCAATGAGTAAAACAGTTTGTTCTGACACTTGTCCCATTGAATGCCAGACTTCCTATCTCTAATGGCTTTTGGTGCCAGGAAGAGTGGGGGCTGTATGTAAACATGTGTCATGACTTTTGTATTGGTTCCTGGTGCAACCAGACTTTATGGCACCAATGGTAGTGAAAACCAATGGACTCTTACGCAAACATTTTTCTTGGACAATGTAGGTAGTGGAAAAACCTTGTTGTTTAACATGCTAAAACCACACAAATAATTATGTTAGGCAAATCTACGTACTGACAAAATCTTTTCATTGATTAGTTATCGTTACATTTCATTTTTAGCACTTTTATCCAAAAGCAACTTGCAATTTATGATACACATTTTCTAAGAATTCTAAGAAGACTTTTGAAAACAATAACTTGACATCAAAAGGTGTTTTTCCCCTCATATTTTTTTTTTTTTTTTTTTTGCAGGTGTGTACACAGCCTTTTCCAACACAGTGATTGTTTAATGTTCCACTCAGTGTTTTTGGTCTTTCATCAACCTCCCTATACCTGATGAAAGGCTCTTGGTTGAACACTCACGTAGACTCCCCCATACGTATCTCTGGTGAAAAATGAGCCATTACTAGGGATACACTGGTTATGAAAATTTTGTGATGATACTGATGTTTAAAATAATAATTTGCCCGATACAAATGCATTTTTCTTTGGGTTTTTATCCCCTCTTTTGTGTCATACTATCACTGAATGAGCACAATGAAGTCAATCAGAAACATTTAATACAACAATTATCGTATTTTCCAGACTATAAGTCGCACCTTTTTTTCCATCCATTGGCTGACTTATTCTGACGTGCGACTTGTTCATTATTTTTACCCCGACAGCCGCTAGAGGCCACTCTACGCTTGAGTGCCAGTTTCTGCTACTCCTGTACCACTGAAATCTTACATGTTTGTTATTTTCACACTGACAGCCGCTAGAGGGCACTGTAGCTGGCAGGTCCGACTTATACTCCGGAGCGTCTTATATTTGTTTTTTTTTCTTATTCATTATGCATTTCTTTGCTGGTGCCACTTATACTACAGAGCGACTTATACTTGAAATACAGTAATATAACCTTAATTCACGTGGCAAGTTCTTTTCGGAAAAATAACTTTCCGTTCAAATATTTTTCAGTATCCTACATTGCCCAATAAAAGTTTTGTGAAAAATAAAAACAACTGCAAAATAAATAAAACGTTATTAACATAACAAAAATAGGGCATCTTCATGAACAAAATCCGACAAAATCGGAACGTTTTTTTTTCCCCCAGTGATGGTGTTTACAATAAAGTGCTGAGACGCCTGTCAGTCATGTGGTTGCCATGACAATGCTTTGGTCGGAGAGCGTGTGTGTGTGGTGTGTTGAGCCACTCAAAAAGAGAGAGAAATAGCGAGACAGTGACGCAGTAATGTATTTATACTTCACTGTCGGTGGTTCGTCTCGACATCGGCAAATAACGATGGCCGTCAGTTAATGAGGCGAACATGGGTCTATACCAATGTTCCTCCGATGCATCGGTGCATTTGGTGGTTATTAAAGAATAAAATACTAGCAGTTATCTGGGAAAAGTGTAACAGAGGTTTTGTTTTGTATTTTGGACCATTCTTTTATGCGGAATGTTTACTTGATGTATGTTCTTTAAACTTATTATATCTAATTAGCAATTTGGTCACATGGTCATTTCATTGCATGTTGTAAATCTCCCCTGCTATTCAAATTGCACTACACATGGTTGGTGCTTTTACAAAAAGAGAAGCCTGCCTAAGCATGCACGTCCAGCGCCTTTCAAACAGCGGCATAATATCCTCATCATGTTTGTCATCTTTTTTTATTAATCTTCTTCTTTTCCTTCGGCTTCGTCCCATTTTTTTTCAGGGGTTGCCACAGCGAATCAACGTCATGTTTTTCTTAATGACTTCTTGAAATTGTGGCAAGTAACACATTCATCACCTGTTTCCGCCTATTGTAATGCTGTTTGGCAAATGCTGTTCAAGTGCTAAAGAAGGAGATTAGAGTCATGAGAGGTTTGTCCCACAGGCCGTTCGGTTTCTAATCGCTTCTTCTATTGATCAATTCATCTCAGAGGAAAACTCAATATACAGGCAGCTATGTGCATGACAGACGGACACAAAGAAAAATTAAAGATTTATCTGCTGCTGTATTTTGATATATTTTGTTCCCATCCAATAAGGCTGAGTTCTGCAAATGACATGATTTGTCACTTGCTGCAGCGTCTACAGTTATTGACCTTAAGTCCAAATAATGACCCTATAAATGTGACGGTAAGTACGTCCATGAATGTATACATGGGTATTAATTTTTCTTCAGTGTTTCAGTCAGTGTCAGGTTTATATTGTTGTAATCACATTGGTATTTTGTTACATTTAGATATAAAGAGCATTGTTTTTGTCACTGAACAGCCTCATGGGTTGGAAAAAAAAGTACTGGCAGGTTAAGAATTTCTTCAAGTAATAGACACAAAATTTGACTTCAGACTTCAGTTGAATGATGAATGAAATGATGAATTGTCTTAGATGTAATGTTGCACGCCCCCTCCCTTTCTCCTCACTCTGCTTGTATTCATTGCGCCCTCGGTA